ATACTTACAAGCCTTTCCCAGAGGATATTGTATACCCAATTACTAGCAAAGGCGAAAAATCTGAAACATTCATGAATGAAACGCCTTTCAGTTGCACAAAATTGTCATCTGAACAAGAATGCAATATAGTAAATCCTGACGAAGGCTCGAATTCGGCTTCTGAAGCTCCATCTACAGACGGCAAAGAATCTAAATTCAACCATTGCATTGATAAATTTACTGAAGATAACGGCAAAATTCGTTCAAAACAACCTTCCTTTCCTGAGGATGGGATCGATACTCCACCAGTAGTGCATATATCTCTCCCTGCTGGGCTGGCAAAAAAAGTATATAAACAAGATGATTCAGATATGCCCTATCCGAATCCAGACTTGAACGTCTTGTTCTCATCCCCTAGAGCCTCTTCGGCTCCTGCAACCCAGCTTGAACAAATACCTACAGACAATGACCCTGTAGTCGAATGTATTTTACAAAATAGCGAGAAAGATTTGAATAAGGATTTTAAATATGCTTTAAAAGAGCAAAGTAAAGGTGAGGTAAACAATGAAATTAGCGCAACCAGCTCACTTTCCGCCTCTATCATCAAAGACGAGTCTTGTTCCATCGACACGATGACGATACCTTCCAGCACAACAGATTGGCCAAAATCCATAACTGAACGTGATGACTACGAATCTTATTCTCACAAATCCAGTTGCGCAGACCAATTCCCTTCCATCCATCGCAATACATTTCCTTTCTCTGGATCCATCAGTCTGAAACATGAATCAGGTGTTGCTGACACCGAGTACTCTTCCTCGAAAGGTATAGGCACAGTACCCAGCTCTACATGCTTGGTGGGAAAAAGTACGGATAAAGTTCCCCCTTTGGAAGTCTCAGCTCCAGCTAACCATACTGACATATTTATTAAACCACCCTCTGGAATAGTATCTGATCCCTCCCTCCAGTCAGGATTGGGGGCATGTACAGAAGCTGCATTTTCATTAATGTCGTCCTCGCCCACTTTGCCTTCACCCCCTGATTTTTTCTTACTTCAAGCTTCTACTATATGCGATAGCCCGTCTATACCTGACTCTCCTTCAGTTAGGAAGAGCAAAGATGGATTACACACTGCCACCAGTTCAGATGAATATCTTGGAGAGGCGATCTTTCATCCTGCGGATAAATCCTCTTCAAGTATCCCATTGTCGCATCTCAATTCTCCTGAAAAGTGCACTCTCCTGAAGGTTGATCCATGAGTTGGCCTATTTGATATTGGTCTAGCTTGCTCTAGTGATCAATGCATACAGACCAATTATTGACGCCCACTATTCCAATATGGTATACTCAGAAAAAAGGATGCCAATTCTATTCCTTCATACAAGATCGATCAGGCAAGTGATGGTATCACCCTAACGCTAAATTAGTGTGTTTAGAACCCATCACTAGTTTTATCACTGGATAGACATCTTAAAACACGTCTTATATGGTACGAAGCAAAACAGGCAAGTGAGCCTAAGATTCGCCAAATGGTCTGCTTAACTCGCCGTAAAATACCTATATCAGGGTGCCGGACTAAAATTTATTATTTGATGTACTAGATTAACATAATCTAGACTAGGGATTGTATACGAAAATTTTGCGAACTATTTTACCTGCATTGTCCAAGCATTCTCAGAACAGCTTAATGCTTTCATTGTAATGCACAACCTCTTTCAAAATCATGGCATTTGTAACCGTATTTATTATCACGTCCTTAATTTATTAGTTGGAGATCTTTGCTGTATATTTGGCAATACATTTTTCCTGCATTCTTTTGCTTTATGATCACACTGTGTGATAATACTGGTCCATCTATCTTGGTTGTTATATCTCATAAACTACTATCTGTCCCACTAAGTGTATCTTTTGCCCATTTGCTGAGTTCCACGTGCTCAAATTCCTGACATCAAGAAACGAACGATCCCACAGTCGCTCAGACTTTCTCAAGTAATTTATGAGTTGTACTAATCATATTTCATTTAAGTAGACCGGTAGTTGAGTTTTTCCACAATTATATGATTAGACCTATTTCACAGCCTTGCTTTCCTAAAAGGTGTTCTCATCCAAGCAGGAATGGACTGTGCTTTCGACCTCGCCTCATCAAAACCCACAGCGGGACATGAACCCCGAAGATACAGCCTACAATCTCGATAAATTAACGACTATGCAATCGGTCACGATTATCCTTTGGTCAGA